AACGGCACTAGATTTGGTACAATTAGGATTTGGGTAAACGGAGAGAGCTGGAAACCTAAAATTTGGAATAATGGTTGCTGTTGGAATATAGAATAGGGATATGGAAGCATAGTACTTATGTGTACTAAATGGTACTATATTTGATACAACTTGATTATTTGAGAACGGATAGAGCTGGACTCCAGAATTTTGGAATTAAAATTCCTGTTGGAGTGTAGGATTGAGGTTGTTTAGGAAATTCTTAATTATAGAAAAAAAACTAAATAGTTTGCAAATTGTTTTTGGTTGAACGGATAGGGCTGATATTCTGAAATTTTGAATTAGTATTACCGTTAGAGTGTAGGATTGAGACAAGTCAGTAGTTTGGAAAATTTGTCATTATTTGGTACAGTTTGGATTAGAATTAACGGATAGAGAAAGAGAAGGATAATTACAGAATTAAGGTAGTTTTGGAATTTCGTACTCATGGACAATTAATGGTACTAAATATGGTACAATTCGTTGTCTGTGAGCGGGAATCCTAAAATTTGAAATTAAAATTAAGGTTAGAGTGTAGGAAGGGACATGGAGGTAGTTTTAAAAATGCGTAATTATGTGTACTAAGTGGTACTAAGTTTAGTACAATTTAGATTTGAGGGAAAGTATAGATATGGAGAACATTAAAATTTCTGTCATGGGACAGGATTGACACATTGTTGGAAATTGGAACTCATAAGTACGAAAAGTACAAAACGGTACTAAATATGGTCAAATTGAGATCTATGTGAACGTGTAGGGCTGGTATCCTAGACATAATGATTAAAATTACTGTTGTAGTGTGGAAATGATGTAGTTTTAGAAACTCGTACTTACGTCTACGAAAAGTAATAAATGGTACAAAATTTGGTAGAACTTGGATTTCGGTGAACGGATAGAGCTTGAATCTTTAAATGCAGACCTAAGGTTATTGTTGGAGTGCATGACTGAGGTAGTTTTGGAAATTCGTACTTTGGATACGAAAAGCACAAAATTTGGTACAATTTGGACTTTGGTGAACGGGTAGAACTCGAATCCTGAAAGTTGCAGCTTAGGTTACTGTGGCAGTGTAGGAAAAGTACAGAACGGTACCACATCTGATACAATTTAGTGAACATATAGAGCTGGAACTCCTAAATTTGGATTTACGATTACTATTGAAATATTGAGATGGGTTTGGAATATGGGTACGAAAAGTAGAGAATGGTATCAAATATCGTATAATTTGGTCTTTAATGAACAGACAGACAGACGTCTGCCCGCATACGAAGTAGCGGGCACTTTGCTAGTATGTTATATATTTATCCTGTGGTATAGATTTTGCAAAAATCGAATTATATTTATCGTCTTCCTCCTTAAAAAGTTTATAAATTTGATTTAAAAAGAAAAATGCTTGTTAGATTGTTATTTGTCTATGATAAAACTTTGCATTCCTTGCTGAAGAGCAATCTTTTGAAAAACTAAAAAAAAACGTTCGCGAATGCTCACAGAAAGAAAGATAACAAGAAACAGAAAGATCATAAACGGTAAACACACTCATCGAATGAATGTGTGTGCAACAGAACGTGTTGGGCATGAGTGGAATAACAGAAAACATGCCAACAACTATTAAGATCACGAACGTTTGTTGTTATACTTGTTTCGAGCATTCGCGAACATTCGTTGGCATTGGTGAGCGATTTCAATCAATGAAATGATTTCAATCAACAACAAATCCAACAAATCCTTGTTGTGTGCTTGTACTCGTTTGTAAGGTAGTTTTGGAATTTGACAAACGCTCGTTCGGTATAGAATGGTTCGCGAGCGCATCCTGTTTGAAATAATTGTGTTTATAATAAAGATGTACACAGTTCCATCTTAACGTACTAGTTTCTGTACGTCAACAGAAGTAAGTACATGCAATTGAATGCATTAGTGTTTCTATTCTAAGTTGTTAGTGTTATTCGTTTTTAGCAGAGTGAGTATGAGTAAATGAAGAGAGAATGAGAGCAGTATATCTGCTTGCCTTAAATTTTGTCAAACATATACTAGTGGGAAGGCAATAAGTAATTATTGTGTTCGGTTCATTCAACACGAACTATAATATAAAACACATTCCTTTTAATAATAAAATTAAAATGTGTACAGGTTTTAATGTTTGTAAAGTTATAATATTTAGGTAAATAATTAACTCAAGGGAGCGGAATGAAGCGATCGACAACGAGAGAACTACCAAGCAGTTAATGGTGTATTGAATAGAAGAGAAAGTTCAAGTGAAATAAAAAACAAGCAATAAAGCTTTAAGCCGCGCTGAACTTTAGATGCCCTCCATAGTTATACTGTAGAGGTGTGCAAAAAGAAATTACTCAGAGAATAAATGAGAAATCGCCATACGAAATGACTTACTAAAAGAGAACACAGAGTTCCCATGGTTGCCCAGCATTATTATACTGAAAGATACTTGAAATGAAAATATAGGGAACATACCAAAAAGTGAACCTATACCGATAATTCTACAAACCGGTTTATGTAAACCATTACGTGCACCAAATACAAACTTCAGCAATTTTTAATGAAAAGTCCAACGTGTGGACTGATACTAATAACACATGGTAGAATATACAATCCTCAAACTACTGCAATTTAGATTACATATATAGATTATATAGTGCTGGAATTAGCGAATATTTGGGGTTATAATTATATGAGGGCTATGCCTAATTAATGACCGACATATGTCAATTTCGAGCCCATTTTGTGTCTCAATTCTTTCCTTCAGGAGGTATAATTATATGAGGGAGATGACTAAATGCTGGCCGATTTATTTCATTATAGTCAGGTTCGAGGTTTCCTTAGAAAGCGGGGGCTAAATCGTCTTAGAATTCCATAATTTGTAGGGTAAAACTGACTATTTTGAGTAACTATTATCCCCTATACTATTGTAGAACATGCCTATATGGGGACAACCCCTGTACATGGAACTAATCAGCCAACTATTTTAATTTAAGAAGGGGGTTATATGGGAACGACCCCTAAAAGGGGGCGAACATTATTAATTTTTGGTAGAAAGATTTGTTACCATATGCAACTACAATATACCAAATTACAGCGAGTTCGCTCAAGAGCCCTAAATTGCCGAGGGTGTATTATATGGGGGCTACCCGAAAAAATGGTCCAATATTTATAATTTTCAGTGAAGAAATTTTATACTCAATAAGAACCCATTGGGTACAATTCGGTTTAAAACGCGCTTAGAGGGTATCGTTATATGGGGGCTACCAGAAAAAGTGGACCGATATTTATAATTTGTAATGGAGACATATGGTACCCAAAAAGAACCCAATATACCAAATTTCAGCGATTTCGGTTAAAAAACGCGCTCAAGAAATCCAAAATACAGAAAATTGGGGGTGCCCTTATATGGGGGCTATCAAAAAAAGTGGATCGAAAGTTATGATTTGTAGTGGAGACATTTGGTACCCATTGTACTTAATTTCAGCGTACCCCAAAATATTTAAAATTGGGGGTGCCTTACATGGGAGCTATGCCTAAGCAAGGACCGATATAGATCATCTTCGAACTTGACCTGTATGTATGCTTAAATCGTCATATAATTTTACGTTCATCAATAATATATGTACATTATAGGTTTGAAATGATTATTTCGTTGAGTAATAAACGGGAAAAAATTAAGTTTGTTTTCCCGTACCCATATTACTATGGTGTAGGGTATATAAAGGTACACATTTATCCGGTTATTGATCGTAGGGTTAAGTCGGTCCACGTACAGACACAGACCAAAAATTCCTTCAAAAATGTGAGGTCTGTTAGGATGCATCTCTTGAATATAGATAATGTTGTAAAGGGTATCATATAGTCGGCGCGTCCGACTTTACTACTTTCCTTACTGGTTTTTGGGGTCTAGAAATTTATTTCTGATCTTTAATTTTACCTATGACCACCGCTAGAGGGCGTTTCAAACATATTTTAACTATTTTTGTTTATTTTCTGAGAAAAATTACAAGTTTTTCGGTAAAATTGAACTTTACTGATCGGAAAATTGTTTGTGTGCGTTTTTTAAGACACAGCTGCACGTCGTTAACTTACTTGTGTAGTTTTTATGGCACCTTTTTAAGAAATGCGTTTTTTGCAACCATTTTAACAATTAAAGTATCACTGGAATGACACAATTGCGGATCGTGAAATTGCTTGTGTTGTTTTTTTTAAGCCACTACAAGACACAACAGGTAGAATTGAAATTACGATTCATTTGAAGCATTTGCCTTCCACGTTGTTGCTGTTTTTGGTGCGTCTTGTGATATGAGTTTACTCAAACTGTCAACGAAATAGGATATTTTAAGATGTTGTTTTCTTGGCCGAACGTAACAGACAAATTGATTGAATTGAAAGAATGTTGAAATTGTAAGACAAAAAACAAGTGTTACTAGAAAATTGGGTACATCGATTGACAAGTATCAAATCGAAACTAAATGCTCCGCCAATGATACCACCAAACCGTTTACACATCGCAGCGAAGTTCGAAGCATCGTATCTGGGAGTATACGGTCCTCCCAGATACGATGCTTCGAACTTCGCTGCGATGTGTAAACGGTTTGGTGTGTCTGATAGAATATCAGCAACACTCGCAAAATCTCTTATGCAAGACACTGACGTAGAAGATGCACATGATAACCTTATCATCATGGATAAAAATACGCCTATATATAAATAACAAGTGTTTATACTGTTCAGATCGGTGACCTGCATCAATACAATTCTGAGTATGAGTCACCACTGATTCTGTACATCGTATCAATACGTCCAATGGGATTTCTCTACACATTGCTTTAATCTCATTCCAAAGAATGTCTAGGTTACGTGGTTTACGTTTGTACACCTCATCTTTTACTGTGCCCCTCAAGAATAAATACAGTGGTGTAAGGTCTGGAGAGCGTGCTGAAAACTCGTTTGGCCTCCTGCGTCCTATCCACTGGCCCGGCAAATTTTTATCCAGGTAAGCTCGTACGTCCCTGTGATAGTGCGGCGGGGCACCATCTTGGAATGGCACCTGCCGAAGAAATATAACATTAGCATTGTAGAGCGGGAAAACTACAACAGTTTAAAATGTGTATACATTTATTTGAAGCATCCTGTATATACTTTATGGGGTCGGTAATGAATATTTCGATGAATTACAATTGCTGGCTAATTACAGTTACATCAGAAAGCCGTGCAAAATACCCCAGACGTAAAAGCAAGAAAGCCTTTCAAATTATTAAATTATTTTTTTAGACATGTTGTTTTTAGGCTGAATTTCAGTTGAAAAATAAAAATAAAGATCAATTTTACCGGAAAACTTGTAATTTTTCTCAGGCAAAAATAAAGATCAGTATACCGATCGTCATATCTCGACTAGCTGAGTCGATCTATCCATATGTGTCGGTCCGTCCGCCCGTCTGTCCATTATAATTTGTAAACACGATACAGGCCACAGTTATGGACCAGTCTTCACGAAATTTTACATGAAGAATGGGTTCTGCCCAATGAAGACCCTTATTGTTTTTGGTAAGGATCGGTTAATATTTAGGGGATGAAATGGGCCAAATACTTAATTTTTGTTCTTTTTCTGGTCGCTCCAGAGACTGCAATTATAGCCCGTTTTGATAAACATTGGTCAATATTTAGAGGGTCAAATCAGACCCTGACTTTTGTCTGAAAAATGACAAATTTTGTATTCTATGGCATATATATTTATCCCTGAAGGACATAGACCCGAGAAGTTGATAGTATATCCAAGAGGAGTGGTTTACCTTTAATTTGATACCAATTATACTGTCGGACGTGGGAATTACACTTTAATATTTACTGGTGCTTACGTATTCATATATTATTTAGTATCAAATTAACACACTAATAGACGGAAATAAAGCGCTGATCGCTTGGAAATTTTCCATGATGTTCCATGGAAATTTTCAATGATGATCAGATACAAATTTTGGGATGGAGAGGACCGAAAACTTTATTTTTTATGTTATTTCGAATCGATCAATAGGCCACAATTATAAGCCGAACATCACGACACAACCCACGGTGAAGGGAATCCGGACAAGTAATTAGGAGGGCTGTACTGAATATTAGTAATATATGTTGATGTCTAATCGGGCAACGGGATGCAAATATCACTAAAATACATATAATAAACCAAAAAGTAGATTATTTTTATTTATTTATTTTTTTTTTTGCTTTAAAAAATACTTTCAATATTTTTTTAAGATTTTTTTGGTAAAAATTTTACATTTCTCAAAAATGCATTTTTGCTTTCGTGAACAATTTTTGTATTTATTATTCGAACTAATAAAAAATTAGTAACTGACATCTGAACAGTTGGGAGCTATAGTAAAGAGCGGGGTAGCAAGCTCCTCAGCGTACAAGAGCCGAAAAAATTAGAAGAGGCATTTCGTAGTGCATGTATAAAAACGCCTTAAGTAGACACGAACAAAGAAGCCGAAATTATGTTAAGTGTTTCGTGTTGTGAAACTTTGGAAATTTTTAAGTCCCAGCTAGAATTCGAAGGCAAAAAGTCTTTAAGTGACGTCCTTTTTCGGCTAGGCCTTCTAATCTATCTTTAGCTTTGGCATTATCACAACAAGTAGAGGCTAACCATAAGCGGTACACGTTTGCATGTAACTTTGCACGAAGCATTGAACAAAAACAGCAAAATTCTGAAAAGGGACGACATGAACTTCAAAGGTGAAGTAAAAATCTAGTTTTTTTAAGAGACAGCAACAAGAAGAATTTCAACCAATGCCGCCTCAAGGGCTTCCTCCAAATAATCAGTTACAGTTTCACAGAACACTCAAAACACCAGTACTCAACATGACAGTCAGGGACAAGCACGTAAAAGACCATGTTAAGAATTAACCAGTTGGTTTCCGACAACATTCCACCTGACCAAGGGGCATACGAATATCCAAATTTATCTGAAGAGTCGGTCGAAGATATTGATGAAGAGCTTCTAGAATTCGACGAACTGCTACCGTTCATACAAAAGGAAATTGCAGGGAGAAATGTTAAACTATTAATAAACCTTTTTAAAATTTTAATAGTATTGTGACTGTGAATAAACCATTTCACGTGAAGTTCTTATGGGTAAACTCGCCTAGATAAATTGTATGATGCCAGCATGAGAGTTTCGCGTGATAAATCGCACTTTTGCAGGGAAAACGTAGAATATTTAGGTTTCGTAGGGAACATGCCCCGATATGTAGGCTACTATAGGTGATTCAGAAGAACATTTTGCAAGAAATGAAAGAGGAATTCTGGTCATAATGTGGGTTTTAAAAACCCCTACTCATTCGAACATGTAGCTTATTGACATTTTTTCAACTAACTGAAAGTATTTTCTTACATGTGTAGACCAATTTTCTATTGTTTAGGTTGTATGCAAAACGGGCGGGATCTTTAAATAAGGAAAGTTTAAAATGCTTTGAGCAGAAATTTATCATGTCAGCTCTTCTTGCCAGTCGTCAGTTGTTGTTTTTAAGATTTTATGACGCACACGATAGGAAAACTCTTCTCTCATCAAATTCTATTGTTAGAACAAATATTATTTCTTATACATACATGCTGAGTCTGTTGATACATTTTAATTATAGATGCTGAAGGCATCTTTTATGCCTTGTAGTTTTCGTCCTTCGAAAAACTGAGTTGTCTCCACCAGTGCTAAGAAACTCAGTGGAACCAGCAAGAAATAAATATTATATGCAACTGGCTGAGGCAGTAGTGTAAAAAATAATGAGTAAAAAAATAAATTCGAAACTGAAGCGAATTACTCGAATGTTGGAACCGTTATAAAGGAAGTCGATGGCATCAAGGGGAATTATTTGAAATTCTATTTCCCAATCTTCGCAAAAATCTCCAGAATGTATGGTTTATTGTTTAGAATTGGAGGAAATCTTGTACTATGCTGTCTTCAAAAAGTTGTCCAATTGTAGGAAGGAGGTAACTAGAAACTGACAAATGCCTAGAATAACGCCGTATTTGGGAAAAGACAAGAAAACAGAACATAAAGCTGAAGCAACAGTGGAGACAGCTGTACGTAGGAACGCAAAAATAAAAGGAAGTTAAACATTATTCCTTCTGTCATGGTCCGATCAAATAAGCATCTGCATCGCTGGAAAAGTAAACCACCGAACGAAGATCCTGGAGAACGTAATATACTGCCTAAAAATACGTTGTTGGTTTGATTATGAGAGCCGTAGGTGAAGGTGGAGGAACTTCTAATGCATGTCTATAGAAATTTTGCTGCGACGCATCGTGGATGCTGATACCTAGAGGTAACAAATTCTCTAAATAAATTAACTATGTTAATATAAAATGTAAAAACGAAGTTAAGTTCGAGCCGGCCGAACTATTTATGTCCTCTACCATGAGGATGACATTCAAAATATCTAAAATTTAGGGCTTCTAATAGAAAACGTATGTTATGGTTAATTAATTATTAAAATTTTTTGGTTTACCAAAACCGACATAATAAAATGACTTAAATTCTCAAAATATGGGACTATAAAAAACACAGATTGATAATGAAAATTGTTGGTTGGTTTCGGAAATAAAATGAACAAAAAATCGGAAAAAATATAAAATTAAACAATTTATTAAAAAATTTATATCATTCAAAAATGTTTACATATTTTAAGGAAAATGTATATATATATATATTACGTGTATGTTCGTGATCGCTAAACTCAAAAACTACTGCACCGATATTGACCAAATAGTATGTACAAGCTCTATGGGGCGTGAGGAGTGTTTCTGTTTAATTTTAAATTCGTCCGACAGATGGCGCGCTACAAATTTTCTTTGCGTTTTGCCCGATTAGAGATTGGGTGCTTATTCAACGTTAAGCATTCCGACACTAATTCATAAAAAATTAATTTGAATCTCTATATATCTCTATATAAAAATTACGTGTATGTTCGTGATCGCTAAACTCAAAAACTACTACACCGAATTTTACCAAATTATATATACAGTCTCTATGGGACATGATGAGTGTTTCCGTGTAGTTTGAAGTTCATCTGACAGATGGCGCAATATTTAGTTTTTTTTGTGTGTTTGCACCGTAACTTAAGAACTACTGCACCGATTTTGAGCAAACTTTATGTTTATGCTCTATGGGGCGTGAGGTGTGTTTCTGTTTAATTTTAAGTTCGTCCGATAGATGGTGCGCTATATATTTTCTTTGCCCGATTAGAGATTGGGTGCTTATCGGCGTTAAGTATTCCGACAGCAATTCATACATAACCTGTTTTCGTGAATAGCGCGTGGGAGTGAAGCGAAAAAATAATAACTTATCACATTGTAGTGAAAGTAATTTAAATCTACTTATAAAAATTATGTAGAAACGTATAGTAAATCATCAATTTGAGAACGGCGGGATCGATTTGACTAAAATTTTCTTTCAGTTATCTATAATTGGAGTGGGGAAGTTTTTATGAAAGAAAATTTTGAGAAAAATACGCAAAATCGTTGAAAAACACAGTTTACAGATAAGTTTCTTACCCATAAGCGGTACACGTTTGCATGTAACTTTGCACGAAGCATTGAACAAAAACAGCAAAATTCTGAAAAGGGACAATGAACTTCAAAGGTGAAGTAAAAATCTAGTTTTTTTAAGAGACAGCAACAAGAAGAATTTCAACCAATGCCGCCTCAAGGGCTTCCTCCAAATAATCAGTTACAGTTTCACAGAACACTCAAAACACCAGTTGACAGTCAGGGACAAGCACGTAAAAGACCATGTTAAGAATTAACCAGTTGGTTTCCGACAACATTCCACCTGACCAAGGGGCATACGAATATCCAAATTTTCTGAAGAGTAGCGAAGATATTGATTTCTAGAATTCATGCTACCGTTCATACAAAAGGAAATTGCAGGGAGAAATGTTAAACTATTAATAAACCTTTTTAAAATTTTAATAGTATTGTGATAATATTTCACGTGAAGTTCTTATGGGTAAACTCGCCTAGATAAATTGTATGATGCCAGCATGAGAGTTTCGCGTG